GCAGGAGACCTGGAGGAAGCTCCTGGCTCCTGGCTTCGGATCAGCATAGCTCCAGCTGTTGCGGCCAACTGGGGAGTGAACCACTGGATGGAAGACCTCTCTCTCTGTCTCTGTCTCTGTCTCTCTGCCTCTCCTCTCTGTGTAACTCTGACTTTTAAATAAATAATCTTAAAAAAAAAAAAAAAAAACCATAGAAAGCAGGTTAGTCAGAGGTGTTTGTGTTTTCCCCAGCATGCACGGCCCTTGTCCACTGTTCGTGGCTCTTGAGTGTCTTATGGGCCCTGTTGGAGACTGGGGCCCCTCCTCTCTGAGATTGGTCAGGCTCCTCCAGGGGTGGTGCTGCCCTCCTGGGCTCGGAGGAGCTCTCCAAGGTGCTGAATGCCCCTGGTTCTGCGAGAGCCCCTGGGTCAATGCTCGGTCTTTGTGTGCCTTACCCTCAGGACGCCGAGCAGGGCCGGGCTGTCGGCCAGCTGCGGGCACTCTCCTGTTGTCTCTGCACTGCCAGACTCTTAGCTTTTCTATTGATAAAATCAATGGTCTTTATTTGGCAGGCAGAGAGACAGAGCCCCCATGCTTCCAGCCGCTGGTTCTCTCCCAGGCTGGGCCAGACTGAAGCCAGGAGTCTGGAACTCCATCTGGTTTTCCCTCATGGGTGGCAGAGACCCACGTCCTTGAGCCGTCAGCGGCTGCCTCCCAGGTGGGCGTTAGGAAGCTGGGATGGGAGGTGGAGTATGGAGTGTGGGTACCCCAAGCAGCACCTTAACTGCTGTGCCACACGTCTGCCCCTTCTTTTTCCATTTTTGAGATCAGGAACGATTTTTATAATTAAAATTGCTGGGGGGGGGGGGGTGACCAAGTCCAGGAACCAGAACAAGAACAAGCTCAAAACCCAAAGCTAGCAGAAGGGAGAAAATAATCAGGATCATGGTAGCGACAAGCGAAACAGAAAATGGAGAAATGATGGTGCCAGTAACACCAAGAGAGGGACAAAACTGACACACATCCGGTAGGTGCACTACGGGAAAAGACTCTCACTACCAAAATCATGAAAACGGGATGTTCCTCCCTATTCTACAGAAATTAGATAGACTATGAGAAAATACTGTGAACAACAGTACATAAATACATTTGAAAACCAAGATGAACTGGACAAATCCCTGGGAAGAAAACCTAAGGCTAAATCAGAAGGAGAAAATACCTGTGACTGGCGAGGAGACTGGATCAGCATTGAAAATTCTGACAAAGGACCTTCCCGGTGGGGTCCACCCCACGCCAAAGGACAGCACATCCTCGGACTTTCTGGAAGACTGAAGAGGCGGGGACACATCACACCCCATTCTGTGCCACCAGCCTTGCCCTGGTGGCAGAGCCACACACAGACTGCAGGTGCCGGCCAGCGTGTGTGAACTCGGAGTCCTCGGCAGATACTGGTGAGCAAGATAGAACCACGTGTAAAGGCTTGTGCACCAGGCCCAACTGGGGCTTGATTTGGGGAAGCAAGTAGGGCTCGGCGTGTGACAGTGGGGCAAACGGTGTGAGGGAAGGAAGCCACACAATTGTCTCCATGAGCTAGGAATGCATTTTACAAAATTCACGCTTTTTTGGTTAAAAAAAAGTAGAAATAGCAGAAACGGCTTCAGTATGATTAAAACCTGAAAAACTCCCATGCTCAGGTGGAAGCAACAAAGTCCACTTTGCCACTTAATTCCACTCAATGCTCAGAATTCGAACCAAGGCAATTAGGTGGGAAAAGGAAATGAGAGTTACTGACATTTGAGAAGGAATAAAACTCCATTTGTGCATGATAGTGATCTGTAGGTGGAAAATCCTACAGTAGCCACTAAAAATGACAAGAACTAATAATCAGGCAAGGACACAGGCTGCAGATTAAACAGAGGGATGGTGCCTCTCAGTGCGCTGACCATGAAAACTGAGAAAAAAGTAATTCCACTTACAGTAGCATCAAAGTAATAAAGTACTTAGCAGTCAGCTTAGCCAGTGGAACTAAGAGACTTCTACAGTGAAAACTGTAAAACATCACCAAAACAAACAGAAAGTAGAAGCACACCCATGGTCATGGATTGGGAGCCAATAGTTTTGGAATGATCAGTAGGTGACAAAAAGCCCTACCAAAATTTCAGGGACTTTTTTTTTTTTTTTTTTGAAATAGAAAAACCAACGCATCCCTGATTTCATGTGGAATCTCAAGTGACCCTGAATGTCCAAAACAATCCTGAAAGAGAGCAAAGCTGGCGGACTCACCCTATGACTTCAAAACCTACTCGGGCTGGGTGTCTGGCACAGTGGTTGAGCTGCTGCCCGGGGCTCCTGCATCCCATATCCCAATGCCTGGGACCAAGTCCTGCCCCTGCTTCTGGTCCAGCCTCCTGGGAATGCACACTGGGAGGTGGCAGGAGGTAACTCAGGACTTAATGCCTTCCACCCACATGGGAGACCCGGATGGAGTTCCGGGCTTGTGGTTTAGGCTTGGTCCAGTCCTGGCTATTACAAGCATTTGAGGGGTGAACTAGATCTCTGCCTTTCAAGTAGATAAAAATAAGTAAAAAACAACAACAAAAACTTACTACAAAACTACTGTAGCCAAAGCAGTACAGTATTAGATCAGGGGATAGATGAGACCCAGAGAACCCTGCATGTGTGGTCACGTGAGTTTCCACAAAGGGGCCTGGGCCATTTAGTGGGGATAGGACCGGTTGTCCTCACGCAGGTGAGTGAAGTTGGACACCCACCTAACTCTGCATGGAAACTGACTCACGAGGACCAGAGGCCTTCATGTAAGACCTAAAGCTATAAAACTCTTAGAAGAAAACAGGGCAGAAGCTTCAGGATGTCGACTAGCAATGAATCCTGGGATAGCACACCAAAGGCAAGGCCACAGAAGAGAACGTGGGCAAATGGCACACGTGTGTGTGTCAGCAGACACCGCACAGTGGGAAGGACCCCACAGCCCCGGGAGCTGCTAGTGGGCCAATACCCAGAACACACAGAGAACACTGGAACCCCAGTAGCAGAGCCACGCACCCGAGTCAGCACTGGGACAGGGCTCCCCAGGGCTTTTCTCAGGATGGACATGCGCTGAGCAGAGGTGCTCGGCGTTGCTGGTCCTCCAGGAAACACACGGCAAAGCGAGCAGACACCACCTCAGGCCGGCTGGGAAGGCAGAAGTGGGCCCTGGTGGGGGTGTGGAGAAGCCTGCATTGCCGGCGGCACCGTGGGGCGGGCAGCTTGGAGGACAAGGGTGGCTGCTCCTCGGAAAATCCAACGTGGAGTTACCATGTGGTTCAGCAGCTGCACTTGTGGATGCACCCGCGCCACGGAGACATCTGGACACCGCGGTTCGCAGCAGATGAAAGGCGAGGCAACCTGGATGACCGTGCGCAGAGCAGCAGACTGAGGTACAGCCCGAGGACGGCAGACCGGCCGGCCCGATGCAGGGAGGGGTTCTGACACGGGCCGCGGCGGCGAGCGGCCGGGGACCAGACCGCCCGAGGACCGGTAGGCACCGCAGGACTCTCCCCATGGCCTTGCCGAGCTCCTCACGCCTCCCCTGATGAGGCCACACATGGGCGCAGCCTCTTTCTTAACTTGTGATCACAGAAAGTCTCCAATGACTTCTCAAAAGCAAAATAAACCCAGGCTTTTGAAGCGGTGCCTGGCCGCAGGCTCCTGGCGCTTCCACGGAATCCCAGCTACGCAGGGTAACGTCGCTGGGCCCGGGGACCAGGAGGACTCAGCTGTGTGTCTGCTGGGCTTGCAGGATCCTCCAACCCCACCGGAGCCAGGAGCCTCTCCCCGGGGCCCCACCGCTGACACCCTCATTTCTGGCTTCATCTTGGGCTTGAGTCCGTCGACTTAACCCTGTGCCTGCCACATGTCCTCTTGTTGTACAGGGACTGCTCCTTGTGTGTTTATAAGGTGGAGTGTGTGTGCCCACTGCATGGTACAGACAAGCCTTCACACAGGGTGAGTCCCTGTGTGTTCATAAGGTACAGTGTGTGGGGCCGGCGCTGTGGTGTAGTGGGTAAAGCTGCTGCCTGCAGTGCCAGCATCCCATATGGGCACCGGTTTGAGTCCCAGCTGCTCCACTTCCAATCCAGCTCTCTGCTGTGGCCTAGGAAAGCAGTAGAAGATGGCCCAACTCCTTGGGCCCCTGCACCCGCAACTCCTTGGGCCCCTGCACCCGCATGGGAGACCTGGAAAAAGCTCCTGGCTCCTGGCTTCAGATCCGCGCAACTTCAGCCATTGCAGCCAACTGGGGAGTGAACCATTGGATGGAGGACCTCTCTCTCTCTCTCTCTCTCTCTCTCTCTCTGTGTGTGTAACTCTTTCAAGTAAATAAATAAATCTTAAAAAAAGGTACAGTGTGTGAGTCTGACCACTGTGTGGTATAGATAGGCCTTCACACGGGTGAGTCCTTGTGTGTTTATAAGGTAGTGTGTGTGTGTGTGTGTGTGTGTGACCACTGTGTGGTGTAGACAAGCCTTCACATGAGTGAATTGTTTTTGGAGTAATCAGTAAATAGTGGGAAATATGTATGTGACGTGGTGTCTTTGCTACTTGGTGGCTCAGTAAACCAGGTGACGTAGTCAACCTTGCAAACCATTTGTAAGGTTTTTGCTCTTTCCTCGGAGACCTGTTCGGTGCATTTTCCTCTGTGTGGGCTTTTGGATTTCCCGTGCCGGTCATTCCGCCCTGCAGCTCTGCTGGCTGGCACAGGTGAGGGGCAGGCGCCAGGTCTGGGCGCTTCTGGGCCTGGGCTACACTGCACTCAATGCCGCGTACGTGGGAGGAGTTGCCCCTCAGTGAGGACAAGATGTGAGCGCTCAGGTCTTAGCCCCCGGGGCTGTGAGGCTGCGAGGGGCCACCCCACTCCACCTTGGGGTCTGCTGCTTGCTGCCTCCCAATCAGAACTTTAGCAGGGAGACCCCTGCAAAAGAAGGGATTCAGTGTTACTTTTCTCCTTGTGAGGAGACACAGGATTGTTTTACCTAGAGTAACTAACACGTTTTATTTTTACAACACGGGGATTGCGCTGTGAGTGGGGGTTGCCATGGGCGTCTCACGTCACCGCACCTCAGCACACTAACAGCCCCTGCGTCATCTGGGAAGCCGCTCACACTGACGTCAGAAAAACCAATGGTAGCAAGAAGGTGCTCCCCGCACGGAAAGGACGGGTCAGTTCTGGGCCCTGGGCACTCGCGGTCGCCGCCTTGCCATGGCTGGGTTAGCCGGCATTTTCCATCCTACTACAGATGCGCCTGCACGGGACGGGACACCACGGGAAGCAGCGGACGCCAATGGAAGCGCTGTGCACGCGGCTGCTTGCCTGGCGCTCCCAGGGGGGGGCACTGGTGCGGGCCTCAGAAACGCGTCCACAGGGCCCAGCGGGACCCCCGTGAGACCCACGACCGCGAGCTCACTTCTGGATCTTGAGCTTGAACTCCACTTTCCCCTCGTAGGGGTCGTGCGGGTTGTCGAAGGTCACGTGATCGGCCAGGATCTTGCAGAGGACCACGACCTCCGTGTTCGTGGGCACGTTGAGGAGCTTGGCGGCCACCAGAGGGTTGCTGTAGTGCGGCTGGATAGAGAGAGGCGGGGCGGGGGGACCAGGTGAGGCTGCGCGGCGGAGACACCGTGCGTGGATGGTGGACGAGGCTGCCACCGGGGCCGCTGGTGTGAAGGCCAGACAGAGGGCGCGGGGCGCCGGGGACAGGCGTGAGGCGCGCAGGGTTACCGCGGGGCGCGAGGGCGGGCGCGGAGGGCGTGAGGCGGGGAGGATGCGGGGCGCAGAGGGCGTGAGGCAGGGAGGGCGCGGGACCTGGGGGGGGGGTGAGGCGCGCAGGGTTACCGCGGGGCGCGAGGGCAGGCGTGAGGCAGAGAGAGCACGGAGGGCGTGAGGCGCAGAGGATGCGGGGCGCGTGGAGGGCGTGAGGCGCAGAGGATGCGGGGCGCGGAGGGCCGGGGGGCGGGCGTGAGGCGCGCAGGGTTACAGCAGGGCGCAAGGGCGGGCGTGAGGCAGGGAGGGCGCGGAGAGCGTGGAGGGCGTGAGCCGTGGAGGATGCGGGGCGCGGAGGGTGTGAGGCGCGGAGGATGCGGGGCGCGGAGGGCGTGAGGCGCGGAGGATGCGGGGCGCGGAGGGCGTGAGGCAGAGAGGGCGCGGAGGGCGCAGCGGGCGCGAGGCGCGGCAGGCGGGCGCAGGGTGCGGAGGGGCCGCCCTGGAAGGGCCCGGGAGCCCTGGCGGACGCGGCGCGGGGGTTTTCAGGCGGTGTGCGCACCCAGGTGGTCGCACGGTTAGGGCTGAGACCCTCTGTCTTTCACAGGGGCGACGTTGTTGGTGCCCCTTGCTGGTTTCGGGGGCCGGTAGCTGCTCTGGGGCGGGAGGAACGGCCGTACCTGCGCTTTCTTTCCGTAGTAAGGGAAGTAGTGGAGGCTGAAGGTGCCGTTGGGGGGGTAGTACTCGACCTGCAGCGGCGTGAGGGCCTGGTGGGGCATGTCCTGGGGAGGAGAGGCGGCGGCCTGAGTCAGGGAGCAGCCGGTGAGCACACGTGTGTGCGCGCGTGCCTGTGTGCCCATGCGTGCTGTGTGTGCATGTGTGTGCGCCTGTGTGCCCATGCGTGCTGTGTGTGCATGTCCACGTGTGTGCATGTGTGCGTGTCCCTGTGCATAGCTGGGAAGCAGTCACATAGTTCGCTGCCCGCCTGGCGTGCACTGGACTCGGTCTTTGCAGACAGTGCTGAGGTCCCGTGGGGGTGGGAGTTGCCGTGGGCGGCGCCGGGGGTTTGCGCGTCGCCATTCTGGAGTGGTGGTGGGGAGATGCGCGCCGCGAGCCGAGTGCCTGCTGTCGTGTGTGAGCAGGCTCGGGAGCTCCAGCCTCTCCCCTCTCCCTGGTGGGAATGCCCCGGTCGGCGGCGGCGGCACGGACTTGCCTTACGAGAGCACTGGCTAGGAGGGGTGCTTTGGCGTTACGAGAGCACTGGCTAGGAGGGGTGCTTTGGCGTCTGTTCAAATCGCACGCCAGCCCACATGCGTGGTGAAAATAACGGAAAAAGGGGGAAAGGAGGGGACGCCCTGAGGCCGCGGGGACAGCAGCTTAGAGGCGTCCTGGGCGTGTGTGGGCCCTGTGCCCTTGCACCGGTTCGCAGAGGCCGCGGTGGGCACAGAAACCTCAGACGCGGCATAGTGACAGCAAATTTAGGCTTCTCGTGTCGTATTGAACGGTGGTTTAGAAAGAAACCAGAATTCACGGAGACAAACGCCGCTGGCAACCCCTGCTGTCGGCGGTGTTTCATAAACGATGCAGCTGAAGGGAACCGGACGGAGGCGCCCGGAGGAGGTGGCTTTCCCACGTGGCCGCCAAGCCGAGCGCTCTGAAGGGGCTGGCACAGCGCCGCCCCTGCCTTCTGAGAAAACGCCTCGGCCTGGCCTCCATCGTCTGCAGTGAAACCCTAGTGGACGAGGGGGTGGGGGCCGTGGCGTGTGTGCCTGGGCGTCCCCGAGGGACCGGGCAGGCTGCCCCGGCCAGCTCGGCACTCACCAGGAAGGTGCAGTCCACGCGGGGTGGTGTGCTGTTGCTGGGCAGGAACCTGACAATCTGGAAGGGAAGGGTGTCCATGTGGCCGCTGGTGCGCGCCGGCCGAGGAGGGGCTGGGCCCTCCGGCCACTGAGCAGGGCCCAGGCTGCCCGCGGCCCCTCTTCTCAGCTCCCAACTCCTCAAAGCCGGGCCTCCTCCCCCCGCACATCCAGGCCCAGAGGAGGGCGGCAGTGGGGCCGGGCCTGCCCCTTCGCCCATGTGTCCTCTCCCGCAGCTCCTCACAGAAGCTCTGGCCCTCTGAGGCCAGCCAGCTTGCCTCAGTTGGCCCCCTCGGGACCACACTCACCTCCAAGGCTCTTGTCGTCCTCACTGAGGTTAAAGGTCAGTGCTGACCCCAAGTCTGGGGCTGGGTGCAGGGCTGGTTCTGCACCTGCCTCCCCCACATCCCGGCCGTCCTCTCCTTGCTCCCAGGATGAGCGGCCTCCCATCAGCCCCTGCTGCCCTGCCCCTGTCACAGCCCTGGGGGGCCATCCATGGCCAGTGCATGAGGGGGTCCCTGAGCCCAGGTTCGAAGCCCCTGCCCTATGTGGTTCCCAGTCCCCTCCCGGCCCTCACTCCACCACTGGAGGCCCCTTGCTGGGCACAGCCATGTCCCGCTGACCGCAGGGCTGAGGCCGTGCCTGCGCCTGCAGGGAGGGTTTGCATCTGGGTTCCCGAGCACGTGGGTCCGTGCTGAGCCGAGGCGGCAGGGGTCAGGCGGCCCCGCCCCCCGGCGTCTGGATGCAGACACCCCCGATGCTCACCCTGTTCATCTTAATGATGAAGCAGGGCTTTCCTTCCTTGAAGCCGAAGCTGGGGTCGGTGAGGCCGGAGCAGTTCTCCAGCATGTCCGCCGTGAACTTGCAGGAGAACTTGGTGTGGTTGGGAGCCCCGAAGCTCTCCTGGAAGAAGTAGGTCTTGGAGGTGCAGTTGATGTTGTCCACCTGGGCTGCGGGTGAGTAACCTGTGGGCAGGCACAGCAGAGTGTGGGCGGCCCTGGCCAGTGCGGCCAGCTCGGGGCGGCTGCCGGGCCGTGGGAGTTACCTGCCAGGAAGCTTCTCAGGGTGTGCGTGAGGCTGGTCCAGGTGCGGTTGTCAGAGATGTTGTAGTGGATTTCCAGGCCCTTCTCCCCATACACGTCTGGCCTTAAGGTTACGCCTGGGGGTACAGAGCAGGGCAGCCTTGCCGCGAGGCTTCTTCCAGCTTCACGTGCAGGCCACACGTGAGGGAGGCCAGGCCATGCCAGGAGTGGCAGCCTGAGGATACTGGACAGCAGCACCACGGGGTGGGACCCCGGCCCGCCAGCCAGAGCTCTGCACAGCCAGGGAAAAGCCTGGGCCTGGCCCCCACGCGGGGCTGCACTGCTTAGCAGGCCTGGGCCGCCAGGGCCACCAGGCGGTCAGAGGGCACCCCTCCTCTCCGAGGCTCTTGCAGGTGGGGCTGACCCCGAGCCCGAGGCTGGTGCTCAGGTGAATTTGAATTTGAACCTAAGAAGCCTTTGGCGTTAGTAGGCATAGAGGCCCCGACGTGCTGGTGGTGACAGCTGCTCAGAGAGTGCCTGTGGTGGGGGCCAGTGCTGTCCACTCGCAGCCTCTGACACCACGACCGCGCCGCCCGCCTGAGGGCCCTCACCCTCGCCCAGCTCTGCCCTCCCAGGCTGAGCACCACCCTCTGTCCCTGCGTTCCCACCGACTCCGCATTTCCTTCACCACCCCAGCTGCCGTGGGAAGCCAGGGCCCGCGGTCCACAGACAAGGAAGGTGATGGCGGTGGGTGGACAGTCTGCCTGGCTAACACCTCTGCTCACTGGTGCACAGGGCAGCTGTCGGTCTCTCACTGGTCCTCTGAGAGACAGGGGACGGCGTGCGCTCTCTGCCCCAAGCCTTGTCTCCCTGGGCCTGGGCCCTGTGAGCAGGTTCTGTGAACCCTTCTGGAATGTTCCATGAGCACATTGTATGGGCATATGGAGTAAGTGGACATAAAGACCTTTTGTCTGTCACGAGAACCTTCGGTTTTAAGAATGAAGATTAAAGCCTGAGTCAGCCTTCGTCACTCGGAGCTGGGGTCATCCTAAGAACTCTGTCCCTGTCGGGGTTGGGGGCGGGTGGGGAGGGCTCGGAGGGCCACACCTACCTGGCGACTTCAGCTGGTCCTGGTAGTCAGGCGTGTAGGGGTCGATGGTTTGCATGAGCACGTAGATGCACAGGGCAAACAGCCCGGTCATCACCACGTAGAAGGCCACGTAGTAGAGGCTGATCCACACTGTGGGGAGGGGCTGGGGTCAGAGGCCACAGCAGCCGTTGCCTCTGCAGCCACCCGAAGTGTCCAGTCAGGAAGCTGCGGGGCCATCACCTCTGACTCATTCCAGAACATTCTTGTCGGCCGAGAGTGAAGCCCGTGCCATTCAGCAGTTCTCCCGCGTGCCCTCAGTGTGCCGGGACTGCCTGCCTGGGCGCCCCGTGCCCGGGTGGCTGGCTCTTCCACCTCCACTAACGTTCCCTTGTCGTCACGGCTGTGCTGGCCACTGTCCACGCTCACTTTGCCCTGGGGTCAGGGTTCCTGCTCCCCCACCACAGGAAGGGAAACAGGCAGAGAAGTGGGGCTGCTGCCCAGGGTGACTGTCACCTGCTGCCTACAGTGGCGTCCCAGGAGGGGCCCAGAGTCTACATCAGGACCTCAGCCGGGTGTGACGCCGTGGCCAGCCATGTGCCTGTGTCCTGTGAGAGACCAGGGGGGCAAGGCCGGAAGGGATGGGGGCAGGTGTCGCCCCTGCATGGGTGGAAATGAGGGAGTGGGGGAGGGAGATGGGGTCCTGGAAACCCCTCTCCCTGGGCCAGGCACCCCCCTGGGTCTGCTGACTGGGGCGGGGTGTGAGGGCTCCACCGTGTGCCGCCTGCTTCCTGGGTCAGGGCCCGGTGGGAATCACGTTGTCCCCCGCCCCCCGAGGGATCCCGCTCAGGCCCGGAGTTCACCTTCCTGTCTGAGGTTAACTTGCATGACCTAAGGAAGAGGACACTTCTGTGCTTGTCCTGGGAAAAGTCTAGAATAGGGCAGCCCACTGATTCCTGCCCTGTGGACGTGAGTGTGGACTCTTTTGAGTGGATCATTCTCCAGGGATCCAGTTGGTGAGAGCAGGGGGGTGAGTGGGGGGCCACAGGGCTTGAGGCCACGAGCTGTGGGGCATTCGTGCCAGTGGGACACCTCGGTCAGCCGGGGCAGCCAGGGGGCTCTGAGCCTGGCCTGTCCTCTTCGCAGTGAGGCCACCTCAGGGCTGTGGTCACCGAAGGTCAGGCACGAGCAACACCTCGCAGCCTCTCCCCAGGCCTGGCGTCTGTGCCGTGGGCATCTGTGCTGTGGGCGTCTGTGCTGTGGGCACCTGTGCCGTGGGCATCTGTGCTGTGGGCGTCTGTGCTGTGGGCATCTGTGCCGTGGGCATCTGCCCAGACAGGCATCTTCTCGTGGCTGTGCCGTGTCTTCACCAGCCCGGCCCCGGTGTGTCCCCACGCCAGAGGGACTGTGTCCTGCTCTCCCGCCCCTCACTTCCCCACAGACCAGGGGCTTCCACTTAACCTGTCGTCGGGTCTGGAGTGACTGCCGGGCTCACAGGCACCTTGTGTCCCTTCAAGACGGGCCTGGTGGGGGTGTTTCCTGCTCAGGTGTGGGAGCCCCGTGGTGGCCTGAAGGCTCCCCCACCTGCCAGGCCAGGGGCTCCCTTTTGCCTTCCACCTGGGGAGGAGGGGCCTGCCCGTGCTCTGCAGGCCACTGTGCGGCCACAAGGGGGCCTCGAGGGACCCCGAGCTGCCAGACCGGCCTGAGCTGTGTCCCAGGAAAAGGGACCCACGGGGTTGCAGCTGAGTCTCAGGGTGAAGCAAGCGTCGGCTTGTCCCCAGGTCCCCTGACCTGAGAGCTTGTCCCCACCTTTAAACCCGCAAACAGCCGTGAGCTTTAGGAGCGGGGCTGTGAAGCACTGGCCTGGAAAGCCAGGGCCCCGGCCCAGGGGTCATCTGCGGAGCCCCGTTTCCTGTTGAGGGGAGGAGGGGCCGGCCTGGGTGGGGTCCTCCGTGCCCCCTGACACCTACCCCAGCGGGACAGGGTGCGGCCCAGCATCTGCCCCGTGTCCGGGTTCCAGCAGTAGTGGCGGAACTCCTCCATGCGCTGGCTGCACGACTTCTTCTCCTGCAAGGCGGCCATGGTGTCTGCTGTGGAAGCCGCCGCTCCCCCACCCTGCACCCCGACTGAGGCCGGAGGCCCCCTGGGTCTTATAGCCTCCCCTGGCCACGGTCAAAGGCATCGCGGGCGACGCCTGCAGGGCTGGCTCGAGGCGGTGCTATCAGCAGCAGCCATCAGCTCCCCAAACACGGGCGCCTCCCTGCTATCGCCCCCCACCTGCCCTGGGCGGCGGGCAGCCTCCCGCTTCTCCCTGCCCGCTGCCCTTGGACGTCCTTGGCGGTCGGTCAGCTGTGTTAACGCCGAGAGAAGGGCTTTCCTGCGTGGCTCTTGCCCCTCAGTTCTGTTCTCTCCCCTCCTCCAGGTGTGAGGAGTGCGGGTCAGAGGTCATCGCCCGCTGGGCTGGAGCCTGCCTCACCTACCGTGCACAGGGCGTGTGACCTTGGATGGCCTTGGCCGTGGCCTGCACAGCACATGTGAGACGGGCCCAGAGCCAGCACCACCTGCAGCCGCAGTGCCGTGGTGGGGTCACCGCAGGTCACAGCGATGTCCTTGGGAGGGGCCCGTGCCTGGGGGTCTCCCTTACCCCATTCCTGCTCCCTCCACCCAATCGCCATCCTTTGAGCTTTTTATTCTGGATATTGTACTTTTCAACTAAACTTCTCTATTTTGTTCTTCATTGCAGCATCTATCTTTTTATTTTTAATTTTTGACAGGCAGAGTTAGACAGTGAGAGAGAGAGAGACAGACAGACAGAGAGAAAGGTCTTCCTTTTGCTGTTGGTTCACCCCCAAAATGGCCGCTACGGCCGATCCAAAGCCAGGAGCCAGGTGCTTCCTCCTGGTCTCCCATGCAGGTGCAGGGCCCAAGCACTTGGGCCATCCTCCACTGCACTCCCGGGCCACAGCAGAGAGCTGGCCTGGAAGATGAGCAACCGGGACAGAATCCGGCGCCCCAACCGAGACTAGAACCCGGGGTGCCGGCGCCACAGGTGGAGGATCAGCCAAGTGAGCCGCAGCGCCGGCCAGCAGCATCTGTCTTTAAACTCTCTATTTCTTTGCCAGGGCTTCCCATTCATTTGTCTCAAGCACGTTCATAAGTGCAGTTTATGAAAAGATTTATTTTCTATTTGTTTGAGAGGCAGAGTTACAGAGACAGGAGAGAGAGAGAGAATATCCTAGCCACTGGTTCATCCCCAAAATGGCTGCAACAGCTGGGACAGGGCCAGGCTGAAGCCTGGAGCCCGGAGCTTCCTCTGGGTCTCCCACGTGGGTGCAGGGGCCCGAGCACTCGGGCCGTCCTCTGCTGCCTTCCCAGGTGCATCAGCAGGGAGCTGGGTTGGAAGTGGAGCATCTGGGACCCAAACTGGCACTCATGGGGGATGCCGGCGTCGCAGACAGAGACATAACCTGCTATGCCACAGTGCCCGCCCTGGAACTGGGTTTTTATTGCTGCTGCTTTAGGATCTCAGTCACAGGTGCACCGTGGTTAAGCCACTGCTTGGGATCTGAACCCACATCAGAGCACCGGCGAAAATCCTGGCTGCTCCGTTCCCACTGATGCATCCTGGGAGGCAGCGCTGATGGCTCAACTGCTTGGGTCTCTGTCACTGTGACATGGGAGACCCAGAGGAGATCCAGGCCCCTGGCTTTACCTGGCCTTAACCTGGGCCAGCCCTGGCGCGGCAGGCATTTGGGGGGTGAACCAGCAGATGGAAACATTCTCTCTCTCTCCCTCTCTCTCTCTCTCCTTGTTACTCTGCCTTTTATGTGGATTAAAATAATTAAACTTTTAAAAGATAAAATAAGACCTTGGCCAAGTCCCCCGGTGTCTCTGTCCCCTGGGCTGGAGTGTCCATTGTCTCAGTTTGATCCACTTTGAAATCTTCCTGGCCTGCATGAGAAGGGCGAATCTTGATTGAAAGTGGACTTTGTAACACTTAATCCTCCTGTTTCGGTTGCTTTCTCTGACTCCACTCCAGCCGTAGGAGGGGCTGTAGCTTGTTGTGGCTTGGGGTGGACGCCTAGGTCCCCACCTGGGGCATGGCGGTGGGGGTGGTGGGGGCTCCTGGTCCCTGTTGGGCAGGTGGCAGTGACCTCCACTGACAGCACAGGGGAGGCCTTGTTATCACTGGGTGGGGGCAGGGTCCCGAGCCGCCCTGGGCTGTGTCTGACTCCAGCAGGGCAGGGTGGGCATGGGGCAGCTTCGTGACAAGTGGGTGCCTGTTTCCATGGAGTCCGTGGGTTTCCTGAGCCCTGGTTCTCAGAGCCTGCTGAGGGGAAGCTGCCCCCTGCCAAGGTCTGCCAGATCCCTCAGCGGCCGTCCAGAGGTCATTGTGTCAGCACAGCCGAGCGCGCGGGAGCCCGCTTCCAGGAGCTCGGAGCACGCTGGGACGGCTGTGCTCGCACGCTTGCTTCCAGCCATCTCTGCTTTCCAAGCCCACCATGGACTGCACCCCGGGTCTCAGCCCATGGGCTCTGCGCAGGCCGCACGCCATGGCCCTAAGCCTCCCGAGCCACAGGTGTGAGGTCCAGAGTCGCAGCAGGTGCCGTCAGACATGCTGCGCGAGCGGGCTGCCGCACCGATTCCGTCTGCTGACTTTCAGAACGAGGCAGAGTCACACTGGAGGGCTCGGCATTGCTCCTCCACGCAGTCAGAAGAAAAGCCCGGATGTGGCCACCAATGAGGAGGACCTAGGTCTGGAGGCACAGCCCCCACCACTGCAGACTTTGACTTTGGATTTGTCACCTGGCCACTGAGCAGCTGCACTGGCACAGCGGCAGAAACCACACAGCAGCCCCTGAGCCAGCACCCACACCCCCCACAGCAGCCCCCGGGCCGGCAGAAGACACACGGGAAAGTTGGAGCAGCAGAGCCCGAGGCCTGCCACACAGCAGCCCTGGGAGGGAACAGGCGCTCAGAGCCCCCAGGCCTGGCCCAGACGTAAGCCTACAAGTTCAGGAAGTCATCCCACCCAAATCCCTGCCAAGCTGCACAACACAGTTCTAAAACCAAAGACAGAGTCATCTTGAAGCCAGCCGGGGAGCACGGCGGCGGATTTCTCCGCAGGCACCAGCGAGGCTGGAAGGAGGCTGCACCCCAATTCTGAGCGCTGCCGCCAGTGCCTGTCAATCCGATGCCCAGAAAACCTCCTCAGGGGACGGTCTGCAGCGCAGGGTAAGGGAGCGGATTTCTTGGCAGCTGACAGAGTGGCTGCGGGAAAGAAAGTGGGGAAAGCAGTCTGGGAGCGTGAGCAGGCAGAAGCGGGCGGTCAGCAGCGGCGCTGACCTCACTGGACACTGCCAGGGAACCCTGGTGCGCAGTCAGCGCCCACTCTCCTCCGTGCCATCCAGGCAATGGAGGACGAGGGAACATTTCCCAACTCATTTAGAAAGATGTTTAAAGATGTATTTATTTACATAAAAGGCAGAGTGACAGAGAGAGCGAAAGCGAGAGAGAGCGAGCGAGAACACTTCCATCCACTGGCTCACTCCAGATGCCCACAACAGCCGGGACACAAACTCTAGAACGGCAGGGCTGCGGGTGGGTGCCGAGCGACCCAGTCCCTCACTCTTCCCCGCGGGAAGGGGAAACGTGACCGCCTCTGGGTACAGCAGTTTGCTGGTTTCTTAAAAACCACACATGCACAACCGTGTGACCCTGCCGTCGCCCTCCTGGGTGTTTGCCCAGAGCTGGAAGCTCACACCAGACCTCCAGGAGCCATCCAGCATGCAAGGGGTTAAACAGCCTCCACACAGAGGGTCGCTGCCCCCACTTCCACAACATCCCCAGTGCCAGCCCCTCGTAGCCAGGACCTATGGCTGCTGCGGGGGCTGCGGCGGGGTGTGTGTGTGTGTGTGTGTGTGTGTCTGTCCTGGGGACCGCATTGCACCGCAGTGTCACCCCTGGGAAACCAAAGTTAAGGGCAAGCAGCTGCGTGGGAATCTATGAGGACCGCACAATGAAGCGTGTAATTAACACAGGGCCCCCAGAGCCCTCTGCCTCGGGGCTGGGACAGGAAGCACAGGTAGCTTTGTTTAGCCACTTGCTTCCGAGCGGGGCAGGTACAGCCCCCGCCCCCAGAGTCGTCTTCCTCCCAGCCTGTGACCCCAGGTAGGGTCGTGGTGGCTGAGCCCTGACTGAGGGGTCCGTGGGGACCCTGTCTCTCTGATGCTGACGGGGAGGGGACAGGAAGGTGGAAGGAGGGCCAGTGATTGGCCAAGGTCACTTGCTACTGAGTGGCAGGGGCAGGTGGGGCTGGCACAGGTCTCCTGGGGCCCAGGGGTGTTGTCCACCTCAAATATTTGCTCACCAGCCTGCATGCCACTGTGCTTGTTGGGAGGCTGCGGTGGACTCAGTCTGCGGGTTCTCATTTCTGCCTGATTGGCCACTGCGGAGGAGCCCAAGTCCATCTGCAGAACCCACTTCCTCCTGGACTGGCGGGGACTGCACTGTGCCCTGGACCCTGGCTCGGCATGCTGGGGAGTGTTGAGCTGCCTCCCAGCCCCTGCAGCCCCTGCACCTCCCTGCCACCCTCCCCTGTATGGTCACTGAGCTCCACGGACGCCGAACAAGGCAGACAAGGCTGTCCCTCACGGAGCCGGCATTCCTGGTGGTTCTGCCGCCCCTGGGTGTGCCCCAGGTGTGTCTCAGGAGTGGCCCAGGTGCTCAGGTGTGCCCCAGCCGTGTCCTGGGTGTCTCACGTGTGCTCCAGGTGTTCTCCAGGTGTGTCTCATGTGTGCCCCAGGCGTGTCTCACGTGTGCCCCAGGTGTGGCCCAGGTGCTCAGGTGTGCCTCAGCTGTGTTCCAGGTGTCTCAGTGGTGCTCCAGGTGTGCCCCAGCCGTGGCCCAGGTGTCTCACGTGTGCCCCAGGTGTGCCCCAGCCGTGTCCTAGGTGTCTCACGTGTGCTCCAGGTGTTCTCCAGGTGTGCCTCATGTGTGCCCCAGGCGTGTCTCACGTGTGCCCCAGGTGTGTCTCAGGAGTGGCCCAGGTGCTCAGGTGTGTCTCATGTGTGTTCCAGGTGTCTCTGGTGCTCCAGGTGTGCCCCAGCCATGGCCCAGGTGTCTCACGTGTGCCCCAGGTGTGCTCCAGGTGTGCCCCAGCCATGGCCCAGGTGTCTCACGTGTGCCCCAGGTGTGCTCCAGGTGTGCCCCAGCCGTGGCCCAGGTGTCTCACGTGTGCCCCAGGTGTGCCCCAGCCGTGGCCCAGGTGTCTCACGTGTGCCCCAGGTGTGTCTCAGGTGTAGCCCAGGTGCTCAGGTGTGCCCCAGCCGTGTTCCAGATGGCTCAGTGGTGCCCCAGATGTGCCTCTGCTGTGTCCTGGGTGTGTGGCCCAGGTATCTCAGGTGTGGCTCAGGTATGGCTCAGGTGTGTCCCTGGCTTCTATGTTCTCATTGCCTGCTTTGCTCTGTGTGGGCCTCAGCCTGGGGTCACCCCAGGGTCCTCTTCTCCCTGGTTCTTTCTTTCACCTTAGCAAAGCTGCTTCTCTGCAAGTCCCAGGCGAGAAGAAGAAAAGCAATTTGGAGCTGGTGGTCTCGCCTTCAGAACCCCCTCCCCAGAAGCTGTTCTCCACATTCCTGTTATTGGCTGGTTTTCCTCTCACTTGCATTTTTCTTAAAACTAGAAATGGAGCATCATGGGGGAAACCAACCAGCCATCGTCACACAGTGAGTTTTCTCTGCAGAAGTGGTCAGTTCCAGCGCAGCTGCTGGGGCCGGGCGGTGGACAGGTCAGCTCAGGATGAATCTCATGCTCCTCCTGGGGGTTTGCCCTTCCTGGGGGAAAACGAAGCCAGGCCCCGAGCTGAAGGTCCGTCTAATCCGCCTCGGAGCGGCTTAGGGGATTGTCTGCACCTGCCGGTGACCCCATGTGTCTCGGTGACCCTGACTGGGATTTAGCCAGTGCTGCGTCAGCCCTGGGTGGCAGGGGCTTCCCAGCAGGTGGCCAGCATCCTCGCCTCAGAGGACATCTCCCTCGTCCTGGGAGGGCAGGAACGGGCCACAGGCCAAGGACAGAGGGTCAGTCCTCAGCTGATGACTCCTTGTGCTTGAAGTGGGCGGGAGGTCAGCGCCAGGATGGATTTCGGAGCCTTGGAGACGGTGGTGGCCAACTCTGCCTTCATCGCCGCCCGGGGCAGTTTCGATGGCAGCATCGCCCCATCCTCCCGGGACAAGAAGTACCTGGCCAAGCTCAAGCTGCCCCCGCTGTCCAAGTGCGAGGGTCTCCGGGCTGGCCTCAGCCTGGAGTTCGACAGCCTGTGCTCGGAGCAGCCCATCGGCAAGCGGCTCTTCCAGCAGTTCCTGGGGACGGACCAGAGGCACGTGCCGGCCCTGGAGCTCTGGAAGGACATCGAGGACTACGACACGGCCGACGACGACCTGCGGCCACAGAAGGCCCGGGCCATCCTGGCCGAGTACCTGGACCCCCAGGCCAAGCTCTTCTGCAGCTTCCTGGATGAGGGGACGGTGGCCAGGGTGAAGGAGGGGCCCGTGGCCAGCCAGGACGGCCTCTTCCAGCCGCTGCTGCAGGCCACCCTGGCACACCTGAGCCAGGCCCCCTTCCAGGAGTACCTGGACAGCCTGTACTTCCTGCGCTTCCTGCAGTGGAAGTGGCTGGAGGCCCAGCCCATCGGGGAGGACTGGTTCCTGGACTTCAGGGTCCTGGGGAAAGGGGGCTTTGGGGAGGTGTCGGCCTGCCAGATGAAGGCCACCGGCAAGATGTACGCCTGCAAGAAGCTGAACAAGAAGCGGCTGAAGAAGAGGAAGGGCTACCAGGTGAGTGGGAGGCAGCCGCGGGCAGGCGGAGGGGACTGGCTGAGGTTCTGGCTGGGGCTCCGGCAGGCGGGGGGATGTGCTGGGGCTCCGGCAGGCGGTGGGGACTGGCTGGGGTTCCGGCTGGGGCTCCGGCAGGCGGGGGGATGTGCTGGGGCTCCGGCAGGCGGGGGGACTGGCTGAGGTTCTGGCTGGGGCTCCGGCAGGCGGGGGGATGTGCTGGGGCTCCGGCAGGCGGGGGGACTGGCTGAGGTTCTGGCTGAGGTTCTGGCTGGGGCTCCGGCAGGCGGGGGGGACTGGCTGGGGTTCCGGCTGGGGCTCCGGCTGGGGCTCCATCTTGGTGGGAAGCCTGCTGAGATTCGCAGGGGCCCCCGGCTGGCGTGTACATGGGGGCAGCGGGGCCTCGGCAGTGCCGTGGCTGCAACATCAGTCCCACCTGGTCGCTGTACCTTGGGCCGCGAGCTTGTGATCCCGGAGTGAGTGGAAGGGAAGAGCGTTTTCCGGGGGGCTGTCCCCTGGGCTCCTGGCCCCACTCTCGGGAAGCCCCTGCTGAAGGCCCTGCTTTTGCTGCGACAGAGGCACACGAGGACGGCAGGGCTGTGTCCGCCCGGCATCCCGGACCCTCAGGGTGTGCAGGAGTGCTGTTCCCCAAATGCCACTGTTTCCCAGGGACCGGGGTGGTGGGGCCCCTCCTGTTTGACCCCTGCTGTCGCTGGTGTCCATGTCCGTCTGGGCAGGATCAGGGAAAGCCGCTTAGTCTCAGGGACGCAGCCCCTGGAGGCTCCTGGCATGGGTGGGGCCGCACAGCAGCCGCCTCCGGCGTCTCGGCCCTTGACCCTGAGCCGGAGGTTAGCTGGGGTGTCGGTGGAAGTGACCGTGGCTGCTGTCGGATTCGAGGTGAGGTCAGTGCACGCCCGCTGGCCGTCTGCAGGGAGGGCGTCCCTCCCACACGGGCTCCAGGCACCGTCCCGAGCGCGGGGAGTGGCACGTCACGTTCGCAGTGGCTTGGGAAGCGGCATGGAGAGCGGGGCAAGAGTCTGGCAGGCTGAGCCTCCCCTGGCTGGCTGAGCAGGACTCCCCAGTGCCCTGTGTGGACGGACGGGCACGCGGGACGCGACTGGAAGGGTCGACAGTCTGGCTTGAAATAGATTCCCTGCGCGCCGGTCTCCATGGCGCCCTCCCGCCCTCGGGCCCGGCGTGAGTTCTCTTCCCGCGTCTGCCTCTCAGGGTGCCATGGTGGAGAAGAAGATTCTAGCAAAAGTGCACAGCCGGTTCATCGTGTCCTTGGCCTACGCGTTTGAAACCAGGACGGACTTGTGCCTGGTGATGACCATCATGAACGGCGGCGACGTGAGGTACAGGGGCGTGCCCGGGGCGGGGCGGGGCGGCGACGTGGAGGTCACGGGCCGGGAGGGGCGGGGACATGAGGTACGCGGGCCTGGCGGGGTAGGGGCGGTGACGTGAGGTACACGGACCTGGTGGGGGCAGGGCGGCGACGCGAGGTAAAGGGGTCTGTCGGGGGCGGGGCGGCGACGTGAGGTACACGGGCCTGGCGGGGGCGGGGCGGGGACGTGAGGTACACGGGCCTGGCGGGGCGGGGCGGGGACGTGAGGTACACGGGCCTGGCGGGGGCGGGGCGGGGACGTGAGGTACACGGGCCTGGCGGGGCGGGGCGGGGACGTGAGGTACGCGGGCCTGGCGGGGTAGGGGCGGGGACGTGAGGTACACGGGCCTGGCGGGGTAGGGGCGGGGACGTGAGGTACACGGGCCTGGCGGGGTAGGGGCGGGGACGTGAGGTACACGGGCCTGGCGGGGCGGGGCGGGGACGTGAGGTACGCGGGCCTGGCGGGGGCGGGGCGGGGACGTGAGGTACGCGGGCCTGGCGGGGCGGGGACGTGAGGTAAAGGGGCGTGCCCAGAGCGGGGACGTGAGGTACACGGGCCTGGCGGGGCGGGGACGTGGGGGCACTCGGGGCCGGCTGGGGCCAGGGGCGGGGCCGGACGGGGCCTGTCGGGGGCGGCCACGTGAGGTACACGCGCCTGTCCGGGCCGGCCGGGCGGGCCCGCGTGTGCCCAGCCTGCCTCCCCTTGCTGCCCGGGCGGCGCTCTGTGCCGTCTTGTCCCCGGCCTCGCTGGCTGTGGCTGAGCGTCCCTGAGGACGCGGGGCAGCAGCCGCCAGCTGCGGGCCCCCCTGGGCGGCCGCCTCCCACGTCCGCAGACCCGCGCCGCCTCGCCCCCGGCCCCCACAGCGGGCGCGGCTCCGGGTTGTGGCCGCAGCGCCGTGGTCTGCCCCCAGGTACCACATCTACAACGTGGACGAGGAGAACCCCGGCTTCCCCGAGCCGCGCGCCATCTTCTACACGGCCCAGATCATCAGCGGCCTGGAGCACCTGCACCAGCGGCGCATCGTCTACCGCGACCTCAAGCCCGAGAACGTGCTGCTGGACAACGACGGTGAGCGCCAGAGGCCCGGGTGCCCACGGAGGCTGCCACGGAGCCTTGCGGCCGCGGAGCCGGCGCAACACACGCACGTGTGGCGGGGCAGCCACGGGCCGCGTCTGTTTGTTCACAGCCGGAGCTGGGGCCAAGCTGGGGCCGGAACTGACCTGGGGGGGGTGGAGTTGTGGGCGGGTTGTCCCCAGATCCCAGCGTGGGCATGGCTGGTGCTTGACTCCTCTGCAGTCAGGCCAGGGAGGGTGTGTGGTGTGATGTGTATGTGTGGTGTGTGTGGTGGATGTATGTGTGTGCTGTGATGTGTGGTGTGATGTGTGATGTGTGTGGTGTGTGAGTGGTGGATGTGTATGTGTGTGGTGTGTGTGGTGGATGTGTATGTGTGTGGTGGATGTGTATGTGTGTGGTGTTATGTGTGTGTGGTGTGATGTGTGGTGTGATGTGTGTGGTGTGATGTATGTGGTGTTATGTGTGTGTGGTGTGATTTGTGTAGTGTGTGTGCTGTGATGTGTGTGGTGTTATGGTCATGTGTGATGTGATGTGTGTGGTGTGATGTGTGTGTAGTGTGATGTGTGTGATGTGTATGGTGGTGTGATGTGTGTGTAGTGTGATGTGTGTGATGTGTGTGTGGTGTGATGTGTGTGATGTGTATGGTGGTGTGATGTGTGTGTGGTGTGATGTGTATTGTGGTGTGATGTGTGTGTAGTGTGATGTGCGTGTAGTGTGGTGTGTGTGATGTGTATTGTGGTGTGATGTGTGTGTGGTGTGATGTGTGTGATGTGTATGTGCGATGTGATGTGTGTGGTGTGATGTGTATTGTGTGATGTGTATGTGTGGTGTGATGTGTGTGTAGTGTGATGTGTGTTACGTGTATGTGTGGTGTGATGTGTATTGTGGTGTGATGTGTGTGTAGTGTGATGTGTGTTGTAGTGTGATGTGTGTGATGTGATGTGTGTGTAGTGTGGGGTGTGTGATGTGTATTGTGGTGTGATGTGTGTGTTGTGATGTGTGTGATGTGTATGTGTGATGTGATGTGTGTGTGGTGTGATGTGTGTGATGTGTATGGTGGTGTGATGTGTGTGTGGTGTGATGTGTATTGTGGTGTGATGTGCGTGTAGTGTGATGTGTGTAGTGTGATGTGTATTGTGGCGTGATGTGTGTGTAGTGTGATGTGCGTGTAGTGTGGTGTGTGTGATGTGTATTGTGGTGCGATGTGTGTGTGGTGTGATGTGTGTGATGTGTATGTGCGATGTGATGTGTGTGGTGTGATGTGTATTGTGTGATGTGTATGTGTGGTGTGATGTGTGTGTAGTGTGATGTGTGTTACGTGTATGTGTGGTGTGATGTGTATTGTGGTGTGATGTGTGTGTAGTGTGATGTGTGTGATGTGTGTTGTAGTGTGATGTGTGTGATGTGATGTGTGTGTAGTGTGGGGTGTGTGATGTGTATTGTGGTGTGATGTGTGTGGTGTGATGTGTGTGATGTGTATTGGGGTGTGATGTGTGTGTAGTGTGATGTGTGTGATGAGTGTGTGGTGTGATGTGTATTGTGGTGTGATGTGTGTGATGTGTATGTGTGATGTGATGTGTGTGTGGTGTGATGTGTATTGTAGTGTGATGTATTTGTGGTGTGATGTGTACGTGTGGTGTGATATGTGTGTGTAGTGTGATGTGTGTGATGTGTATGTGTGATGTGATGTGTGTGTAGTGTGATGTGTGTGATGTGTATTGGGGTGTGATGTGTGTGATGTGATGTGTGTGTAGTGTGATGTGTGTGATGTGTATTGTGGGGTGATGTGTGTGATGTGTGTGTGGTGTGATGTGTATTGTGGTGTGATGTGTATTGTGGTGTGATGTGTGTGTGGTATGATGTGTGTGATGTGTGATGTGTGTGTGGTGTGATGTGTGTGATGTGTATGTGTGATGTGATGTGTGTGTGGTGTGATGTATATTGTGGTGTGATGTATTTGTGGTGTGATGTGTACGTGTGGTGTGATATGTGTGTGTAGTGTGATGTGTGTTATGTGTATGTGTGGTGTGATGTGTATGTGTGGTGTGATGTGTGTGTAGTGTGATGTGTGTGATGTGTATTGGGGTGTGATGTGTGTGATTTGTATTGTGGGGTGATGTGTGTGATGTGTGATGTGTGTGATGTGTATTGTGGTGTGATGTGTATTGTGGGGTGATGTGTGTGTGGTATGATGTGTGTGATGTGTGATGTGTGTGATGTGTGATGTGTGTGATGTGTATGTGTGATGTGATGTGTGTGTGGTGTGATGTGTATTGTGGTGTGATGTATTTGTGCTGTGATGTGTACGTGTGGTGTGATATGTGTGTGTAGTGTGATGTGTGTTATGTGTATGTGTGGTGTGATGTGTATGTGTGGTGTGATGTGTGTGATGTGTGATGTGTGTGATGTGTGATGTGTGTGATGTGTATTGTGGTGTGATGTGTATTGTGGAGTGATGTGTGTGTGGTGTGATGTGTGTGATGTGTGATGTGTGTGATGTGTATTGTGGGGTGATGTGTGTGATGTGTGTGTGGTGTGATGTGTATTGTGGGGTGATGTGTGTGATGTGTGTGTGGTGTGATGTGTGTGTAGTGTGATGTGTGTGATGTGTATTGGGGTATGATGTGTGTGATGTGTATATGTGGTGTGATGCATGTGGTGTGATGTATGTGGTGTGATGTGGGTGATATGTGTGTGTGGTGTTATGTGTGTGGTGTAATGTGATGTGTGTGGCGCGTGTGCAGAGGGTGGTGTGTGTGCAGAGGGTGGTGTGTGTGCAGAGGTAGCTGATGTCCCCAAGTGGCCTAGACTTGCCAGGTGCCCTGATTCTGTGTGGTGGTGTCACCTCAGCTGTGTTTGCTCGCAGGCAATATCCGGATTTCTGACCTTGGGCTGGCCGTGGAGCTGAAGGAGGGGCAGACCAAGACCAAGGGCTACGCAGGGACCCCAGGTGAGGCTGAGGGCAGCATGGGCTCTGGGGGCTGCACAGCTGAGTGAGACTCTCCGGGGCTGGGGGAGGGTGGCTCAGGAAGATAGGGCAGGGTGAGTGGCCCCTCACCCTCAAAGCAACAGCCATGGTCAGGTTGCACCCAGAGGCTCTGTGTTCCCTGCAGCAACCCCTACACACACGCGCGCGCACACACACACACACACACCCCTGAAAAGTCCTATTGGGTTGACGGCTGTGCCTGCTGTCTGTGGTGGAAACTGCGTGTTGGTGCCGTGATGGCTGATGATAAACAGATGTGTCCCCAACATGAGGTTGTCCAGAACCTGATGGAGGTCGGAGCCCCAAGTCTTCAGGGGTCATGCCATGGAGTAGTGGGGACAAGGGCCTGATGCATCATGCGTGTCCTCACAGGCTTCCAACAACATGCAGCTGTGCACTGTGTGCATGCATGTGGATGTGGATATGTGTGTGTGTGCATTTGTATGTGCACGTGCATTTGTCAACCTGAACACGTAGTTCTGTGCCAGAGTGCACATGTGTGACTATGTATGCGTGTGCCCTGTATTTGTGCATATGCGTGCACATCAATGTACGTGCACGCTCTATGTCTTTACATGTGGACACACATACACACGTGTGTTTTGTGCATGCCAGCATGTGCCGCTGCATACACATTCATGTCTGCATACATGTGCATTGCATGTATGTGAGTGTGCACACATGTATCCTTGCATGTATCTTTGTTTTTGTGTGTGTACACTTGCATAAGTGTGTCTGTATCTTTATGCGCATACATGTGTACTTTGGTCTCTGTGTGCACACATGTGAACATGTTACACATATGTATGCATGTGTGAGTTCTGCTGCTGCATCCCCCAGGCAGGAAGGAAGCAGCACAAGGAGTGGGTGGGGTCTGTGTTCCAGGCCCCTCGCTTGTTGGCTGTGACCTTGGGGGAGCCTGTTAGCCCCTCTGAGCCTTGGGTGTGTTGTGAGCGTTTGCGGTCACATCTTGCACCTGCATGCAGCGGCCACACCTCACCCCCCACTCCCACCTCTCTCCTGTGCACTCTCTGCGGCTTGACAGGATCAGGCTTGTTTCTGACAGGGCATCCTATGGAGTTTCTTTTCCACACGGGTTGTTTTGGCCTTGGGGAGGAAGTGCTGCCCCTGAGGTGGGGACTGTGCGGCGGCGACTGGGGTCTGGCATGTGTCGTGGGATCCTCCGAATCCTTGCACTTGCGTCCGTCACCCGGCTGGCCTCCTCTCACCTGCAGCCTGGGGCAGGGCACGGGGCGCCTGGACTGGAATACCCAGGTTCCTCTCAGTGCCAGGGAAGAACGGCTGCACTGGCTCCTCGTGGCCACGCTGCGCTCCTCAGCGTGGGATTCAGGGCTCCAGTGAGGCCCCCCAGGCCTGGAAGCTCTGAGAAGCAGCCGGAAGCAGCTTGGCCTGGAGCAGCCCCGCAGCAGAAGGGGGTCTGCCCCGTCTGCATTTTCCTGAGAGCCTGAGCCCCGTTCTGTCTGCGGAATGTGCAAGCGCGATCCGCACGCACCAAAGCCGGGATTTGAGGAGTTGAACCCTTGGGGACCAGAATTGACTCGCTCAGTGCCTGGCAGCCACTAGAGGGCGCTGCTGCCTTTGTCCTGGCTACCAGCCTGGCGTTTCTTCTGGAGTCAGGTGGATGCAGGACTCCAGCGCTGGGGCTTCACTCTCTGCGTCACAGACCCCGCAAGTGTTAGAGTTGGGCAGAAGTTAGGAGCCTGGGCCAGCAAAGCCACAGTGTAGCTTTCTGGATCTTCCTCCCCTGCCCTCGTCCCAGCTCAGGCCACCCACAGCAGAGGCCCCACACTTGGTCCCTGACCAGTCCACCAAAAGGCAGGGGTCCACTCCACACCCTTCCAGCCAGGGCAGGTGGTCACTGCTCTGCCCTCAGCCTTTCCTGTGGGAGGGGCTGGTGTGCTTAAGAACCAGTGAGGAGACCAAGATGGAGTCCACCCACCCTCTCCTCGCTCACTCGCCCACTTGTTCATCCACTCACTGTTCTCCCACTCACTCAGCCTCTCACTCGCTCAGTTATTCATTCTCATCCCCTCATGTAGTCACTGGCTCACTCATCCACTCCTCACTCACTCACTCACTCATTGATTTACTTTCCCACTCACTCACCCACTCACCCATGCACTCAATCACTCTTTCACTCTGTCTCCCTTCCACTCCCTCACGCCCTCACTCCCTCACTCCACTTGCTGGGTGGCATCTGCCATCTCGAGGTCCCGACGGGATGCACAAGAGTACATGGAGCTGAGACACAGGGCAGTCGGAAGCCCAGGCTGCTGGGCTGGGTCTATGCCTCTGCCCGTGGAACAGTCGTGAGTCCCCTTTGGTTACTCCTTGGGTGGGAGGGGGCACCTCAGGTGCACGGAGCACTGCAGGGTAGGTACTGTCATCCCTGCCGAGGGCCTGGGGCTGGGCCCAGTTCGGCAGGCAGACTGCTGGGCAGGGAGGCACCTGGTTTTGCTGTAGTCGGGAAGGCGACTGGCAGGAAAGAGTGTGGGGGGTTCTGGAGGGTCTGGAGGGAGCAAAGGAGCCGAGGAGGGTGTGGCTGGAGCTGACAGGTGGCCCAGGAATATGCACCTGCCGGGAGCTACTTCACTGAGGACACCCTGAGGCCATGGTGGGCTTGGGCAGCCTGGGCAGCACCCACAGGCAGCCCAGAGAAGCCGCTCCACTGGACCCGTGTCCTCTGCCGAGGGGAAGGAGCACCAGTGAGCCTGGCAGGGGCAGGCTCCAGCAAGTGCAGAGGGGACAACGCCCTCAGGGTCATGGAGACCTGGTTTCCACAAAGCAGGGGGCGTGTGGGAAAGATGTCGCTGCCAGGCGTTGGCCAGTGCAGGCTGTCTGTGGCATCTCAGGAGTCTCGGTGACCGTTGACAAGATACTAACAATGAGGACACCAGACCCTGGTGAGACCCACCGGCAGCCACGCTCTCCAGGTAATGGAGCGGAATTGGGTGAAGTGTTTGGAAGTAGCCATGGGATGTTTTCATGGTCCAGGCAGGTGCCTGAACACATGTGTTACTTTCTCTGCTGAAGTCCTAGTGTTGGGCAGCGAGGGGTTTTCCCAAAAGCACACACACATGTCCACATGGACAGCAGCAGCACCATGGTAGCCAGAGGTGGGCGGCAGGGGGAGAGGTGTGTGTGTGCTGGCGCAGCCTTCAAAGGCCCTGGCAGTCTGAGTGACCGGCGAGGGTGGCGTCTGCCGTGGGCTGATTGACTGAGGGCAGCTGCATCTCCTTAACATCCGTCCTCCTCACACAACCCTGGCGCAGTCTCTGATGCACCTTGTTCTGATGCCTCATTCTCTGGAGATGACACTGACTGGAAGCCCCTGAGACGGACACCCGGTGGGTGGAGGACTGGCTATGCAGGGAGGGGCTCAGGTTCCGCAGGCCTCACCTCCAGCTGAGCTCAGGACTGTGGAGGCCTCCTCTGCAGGCTGACTGGTTCAAGGGGGAAAGTCTGGAGGTGGTGAGGGAGACACTTCCCTGACAAAAGAACCCAGGGCACCTCCTTCCCCCGAGGCATGGTCACCACCGCACCCACATCCAGATCTGTGCCGTCCTGGCTTACATACAAGCCAGCCCCCGAAGACCACCAAGCTCTGAGGACAACTAGAAGCACATGACTCACGGGGAGCAAGACCACAGAGGGGACGAGAACGCAGGCCCAAGCAACTGCTCACCTCTGCGGGAGCAGGGTGCTCTGGAAGCGATCTCAGGAGGAAGGAGAGAGACACAGTGTGGTCTGAGAGAGGGTTGGGTTTCACCCAGAAAGTCGACTGGTGGAAAACAGGACAAAGCACATGGATGTCAGACCCACCCAGAAAGTCCAGTGCTTGGATAGCAGTCGTCCTGCGGAGAAAGAAGACCTGTGGAGAGGGGAGAGGCCCCTGGCGTATTTCCAGAGAATTCCCAGAGGGAGCAGCCTGAGTTTCCACGTGGAAACACCCTGCACATGGTGGACATGGACCCCATGGAGTGCTGATGTGAGCAGTGACAAAGGGGAGCCACCAGCCTCCAGGAGGTGCAGGGGCCGGAGTGGCCTTGATCTCCTCCGGCAATGTTGCAGGAAGGAGGCAAGGGAGCGGAGAGATGAGTCACAACCCAGATTTTATACCCAGCCAAACCAGCCGCTAGACGTTAGTCTAAAATAAAGGCATTTCCAGGTGTGAAGTTCTTGGAAACAGTGCTCAGCTGTCTTCCTCAGGGAACTGCTGGACAAGACTCAGGGAGCAACCGCAGAGGGGCTGTACCTGGGACAAGGCCAGAAAGTTGCAGAGGTTCAGGCTCCTGCCACACACCTGGGTCCAGACTGGAGTGGGAAAGAAGGTTCTGGAAGACTTTCTCATGTGGGTGAGACTGATGAAATACTGAATGGATCAGAGAATTGTCTGTTATAGCATTTAGGGTTGAAATGATGACAAATACCCAGAAAACGAAGCAAACGGAAACAGCACATCACCTGGGAAAACCAAAAAACACATTGGAAATGTGACTGGGCTGAATGTCTGTCTCAGGGGAGACCAGTGTCTGCAGGTGCTAGGGGCACAGCTCCAACCCCCAGAGCCACATTGGCGAGGAGCCAGGGGAGACACACAGGTGCAGGTCACATGGGCCCCAACGTCGAGGTGGGAGTGAGGCCGAGGAGAAGGCTTGGGACAACACTCAGCTTTGAAAAACGGCCATGCCCACTGAGGTGGCCTCTATGTGCAGGAGCGACTTTGGTACAAACAAGGATGTTTTAAAAAAAAAAGCAATCAGGTGGATGAGTAGTGCGTTCGCCTGCCAAGCCAAAGGGCAGTGTGGGGCCTGGGTGGGTCCCTGGCCATCGCCTGCATCTCTGTCACCCAGCTGAGTGACAGCACTGGATCCTTAGTGCTCTGGGGACCATATGAGGTCAACCTGTGTGCACTTGCAGGCACAGGTGTCAGCCGTGGGCCCTGTGGCTGTGCAGGTGCCGGTGTCGGGGCACTGCAGGCACTGATAAGCTGGTGCAGGTCAGTCAGGGGCAGGGGCTCCAGGTAAGCATGCAGGACCTGGTTCTGGACGTCAGTCAGCCCTTGGGATGTCTGGACTTTGAGCTGTCCTGTGTCCTTCCTGGAAGAGTGGGGTCAGAGGTGGCTCTCGGTGCCCGTCCTGCGCCTGCCTGCCCCAGCCCCACACCTGCTGTTGTGCTGTGTGCTGTCCCCACTGCCCTGGGTGTGAGGGGTGGGGCAGAGCAGGTGCAGGCCCTCGTGTGGAGTGGGCTCCTTCACCACGGGACACTGGCCGCATCTGGAGGCGTTTTTTGATCCTTGCAGCGGGGAGCAGTGCTGGACAGGGAGAGTGCACAGGGCGGACCCCGAGTGTGCCCTGGCCCCACGTGTCAGCAGCACAGGGCTCCTGGCATCGGGGCTGCAGTGAGCGCTGGGTGAGGGCAGCTCAGCGGCTGCCCTGAGCTCACTCTGTGCGCGCAGGGTTCATGGCCCCCGAGCTGCTGCGCAGTGAGGAGTACGACTTCTCCGTGGACTACTTCGCCTTGGGGGTGACACTGTACGAGATGATTGCTGCCAGAGGACCCTTCCGGGCGCGAGGAGAGAAGGTAGGGGACTGCAGTGTGGCTGTGGGTGGCCGCCCCGGCACTGCTGCTTCCAGGCCTGGGGGTGAGGGGCACATGCTGGAGGTGGTTCCTGCCTCCATGGTGACTCCCCCACGTCCGTGGGAGAGGCAGCGGGTCTGGGGTCCTGAGGTCTGCTGTGGGGTTGCCCAAGCCTCACACCCTCCTGCCCAAGGCCAGCTGTGGCAGGAGCTACACCCGCAGAGAAGGGGCTGTCTCTTGGCTTCCTGCTGTGGGTTCTGGGCAGCCTGAGGGGACTCGGTGACTCAGCTGTTGTGGCTGCAGGTGCCCAGCAGGGTCGGGACAGGAGATTCCTGGGCCAACCCACAGCCTGGCTACCGTCAGATCCATGTCCCCAGGTGGAGCCTCATGGCTCCCCAGCGGCTGCTCTGTGCGTCCTGGAGGGAGGTGGATGTCCAGTGGGCTGCACCTGCCCTGTTATGCCCGCTTTGTGCCCTTTCTGTTCTGTCCACCTGGGTCTCCATGTTGCCCCAGCCCTGGCCCGGGGAGCCCAGAACCACAAGAGTGCACTGGGGGTTGGGGGAAACCAGTGTTCCGTTCCAGGCAAACAAGGCAGCGCTGGCTTCTTCCGGAGCAGACGCTGACAACCAGCAGGGCCTTTGGAAAGGCTGAGCCGCTGGGGCCTCTGCCTGGCGGTCCTGCCCACCAGTCTCTTCCTCCCTGAGGTGGGGGTCCCAGCCCCTGAGGCCCCACCCTGCTCCCCCCACGCAGCTGTCGGAGCGAAGTGCGTTCCGATCTTCCAGGAGCTGGCACGCTCGCTGGACTCTGACAGCCGTGCTGTCCTGGACGGGCACCGAGCACAGGGAAGGGGGGGGCTCTTGGGTGGAGGGGTGTGCACAGCCTGGACTCCCCAGGTGCCGTTGCTGCCGCACACGGCACGCCCCGGTGGGGCTTGTGGCTGTGAGTGGTGCGCACTGGAGCCCACTGGACAGACGTGCGCCTCTGAGGCCGGGGCTGCGGGGTCTGACAGCCCGTGTCTGCCGCGCAGGTGGAGAACAAAGAGCTCAAGCAGCGCATCCTGTCGGAGCCCGTCTCGTACCCCGAGAAGTTCAGCGCAGCCAGCAAGGACTTCTGCGAGGCACTGCTGGAGAAGGACCCCGAGAAGCGCCTGGGCTTCAGCGACGGCTCCTGCGACCGGCTCCGCACCCAGCCCCTCTTCAAAGACATCAACTGGAGGCAGCTCGAGGCTGGTACGGTTAATGCCCAGGCCTGGGCCGGGACCCCGGGAGCTGTGGTCCTGTCACACGCCCCAGACTCCTGGGCCAGGACCCCAGGGGCGGTGGCACCACCACATGCCCCAGACCTGGGCTGGAGACTTCAAGAGCTGTGGTACTGTCACATGCCCCAGACCTGGCCCAGGACCCCGGGAGCTGTGGTACTGTCACACACCCCAGGCTTGGGCCGGGACCCTGGGAGCTGTGGTACTGTCACATACCCCAGGCTTGGGCTGGAGACTTCGAGAGCTGTGGTAGTGTCACACGCCCCAGACCTGGCCCAGGACCCCGGGAGCTGTGGTGCTGTCACATACCCCAGGCTTGGGCCGGGACCCCCAGAGCTGTGGTACTGTCACATGCCCCAGACCTGGCCCAAGACCCCGGGAGCTGTGGTACTGTCACATACCCCAGGCCTGGGCTGGGACCCCGGATCTGTGGTACTGTCACACGCCCCAGGCCTGGCCCAGGGCCCCGGGAACTGTGGTACTGTCACACACCCCAGACCTGGCCCAGGGCCCCGGGAACTGTGGTACTGTCACACGCTCCAGGCTTTGGCCAGGACCCCAGGAGCTGTGGTACTGTCACACGTGCCAGACCTGGGCCAGGGACCCTTGGGAGCCACCCTGCCTGTGGTGAAGATGTTGGCAGAGCCCTGGGGGCCACCGCAGCCACTCTCCTGCCCACAGTCCCAGTGCCCCCCTGGTGGGTCTAGGACAGGTGTGAGGGCCGAGGTCTGAGCAGGATAACAGGCTGGAAACTCTGACCCAAACATACGAAGCTGCATGTTTCACTCCCATGCCTGTGTGCAAAGGGGCCGCTGACCCAGCCATGCCCTCTGCCTGGGGGTGAGGGGCTCCTGCACTGCCGTCGTTGACCGCCCTGTCGCCTGTAGCAGAGACTGCTACCTGTGTGTGGGTATTCATGGTGTGCATCTGTGCCTGTGTATGTGTGTGGTTGGGCTGCGTGTGTCTGAGGCATGTACGACACCCCCGCCCTCGGGGACACTGCAGTCAGGCTGTGACGTGCTACAGGGCTTGCAGTCCAGTGCAGCCAACGCTCGGTGCCCCCACGGCCTTCCTAAGGCTGCCTCTACCCAAGAGAGCTGTCAGGATGGGGTGGGCAGGGTGGCTGTGGCCTGGGAGCCTGAGGATGGGGCCTCCAGGGCCTAGAGTGAGGTGGGGCCCCAACCCCCCGGGAAGGAGCCCAGCTGTCAGAGGTCTGGGTCTGGAAGTGCCAGGTGGGACACACGGGGCTGCAGGAACAGGGGCCGGTCCCGGGCCACTGCCTGGTCTTCAAGGAAGCTGGCTCCAGGTGCAGCCAGGGCAGGGCCACGGGTGCTGAGGAGGAAGGGGTGTGCGGGGCCTGATGACACCTGGGGACCCGGCCCCTGGCACACTGGGAAGAGGAGCCGGCCTCAGGGATGGTGGATGAGCTGAGCTTGATGTCTGACAGTGCCGGGCGGGGCAGGAGTGGGGCCCACGGGGAGGGAGGGGTGAGACTGGACAGCGCAGCAGACAGGGGCAGCCTCACGGTGCACCTGGCTCAGCCTCTCTCTGTCTGTTCACAGGGATGCTGATCCCGCCTTTCATCCCGGACTCCAGGACGGTCTACGCCAAGAACATCCAGGACGTTGGTGCCTTTTCCACCGTCAGAGGTGTGGTCTTTGACAAGACAGACACAGAATTCTTTCAGGAGTTTGCCACCGGCAACTGCCCCATTCCCTGGCAGGAGGAGATGATCGAGACGGGCATCTTTGGGGACCTGAATGTGTGGCGTGCCGATGGGCAGATGCCGGATGACATGAAGGGGATCGCCGCGGAGGAGGCAGCTCCCGCCTCCAAATCGGGGATGTGTCTGGTCTCCTAGACCGCTCCCCAGAGCCACGTGCACAGAGGAAGGGCCATTCATCGGGCAGTGAGAAGGGACTGAGCCGCCCTGGGACACGAGTGGGGTCCAGCCGTGCATGGGCAGTGGCGCCTCTGCCCAGGGCCTCTTGAGCTGCCTCCCCCAGAGGCACAAGGAAGAGAAAGCCCAGGCTGGCGTGGAGCAGCCGGACCCTGCCCTGGGGCTGCAGCGACGGCTTTGGCCCCATTTCACCTTGTAAAGACTCAGACATGGGGGTGCTGGGTCCTGGGGGAGAGAAAACACAGGGAGGGAAAACACAGCTGGGATTCACTGCTGCCCACCCCACATTCAGAGACAGCCGTGGTGAGCGCCTGTCCTCACATAGCTGTGCCCTGTGTATGCGCGACTGTGTCCCCACACAGCTGTGCCGTGTATGAGTGACTGTCCTCACACAGCTGTGCCACGTGTAGTGACTGTCCCCACACAGCCATGCCCTGTGTATGAGCGACTGTGTCCCCACACAGCTGTGCCGTGTATGAGTGACTGTCCTCACACAGCTGTGCCACGTGTAGTGACTGTCCCCACACAGCCATGCCCTGTGTATGAGCGACTGTGTCCCCACACAGCTGTGCCGTGTATGAGTGACTGTCCTCACACAGCTGTGCCACGTGTCGTGACTGTCCCCACACAGCCATGCCCTGTGTATGAGCGACTGTGTCCCCACACAGCCATGCCCTGTGTATGAGCTACTGTGTCCCCACACAGCTGTGCCGTGTATGAGTGACTGTCCTCACGCAGCTGTGCCATGTGTAGTGACTGTCCTCACACAGCCGTAATCTGTGTGGTGAGCGACTGTCCTCACACAACCATGCCGTGTGTGTGAACAACTGTGTCCCCACACAGCCATGTCCCATGTATGAATGACTGTGTCCTCACACAGCCATGTCCCGTGTATGACTGACTGTGTCCTCACACAGTTGTGCCATGTGTGTGACTATCTCCTCACACAGATGTGCCCTGTGTATGAGTGACTGTTCTCACACAGCCGTGCCCTGTGTGAGTGACTGTGTCCTCACACAGCTGTGCCGTGTGTGAACAACTGTGTCCTCACACAGCCATGTCCCGTGTATGACCGACTGTGTCCTCACACAGTTGTGCCATGTGTGTGACTATCTCCTCACACAGATGTGCCCTGTGTATGAGCGACTGTGTCCTCACACAGCTGTGTGCTGTGTATGAGCAACTGTGTCCTCACACAGCCATGTCCCATGTATGAGCAACTGTGTCCTCACACAGTTGTGCCATGTGTGTGACTGTGTCCTCACACAGCCGTGCCCTGTGTAGTGAGTGACTGTGTCCTCACACAGTTGTGCCCTGTGTATGAGTGACTGTTCTCACACAGCTGATGCTATGTAGGATGGACTTCTGTGTCTTCAGACAGCTGATGCCACATGTGATGGGTACCCATGTCTTTTAATTAATTTATTTACTTTGATAGAGTTATAGAGAGAGGGAGAGACATATATATATATATATATATATATATATATATATATATTCATCTACTAGTTCACTCCCCAGATGGCTGCAATGGCCTACACTGGCCCAAGCTAAAGCCAGGAGGCAGGAGTTCCATCTGAGTCTCTCATGTGGGTGACAGGGGCCCAAACTGTTGGGCCATCCTCTTCAGCTTTTCCCAGGCCATTATCTGGGGACTGGATTGGGAGTGCAGCCGACAGATCACCAACTGGTGCCCATGTGGGATGGTACCCATATCTTTAGATACCTTCAGTGTGGTGGACCCCTGTGGTCCCAGACAGTTAACTCCATGTGTGGTGGATGCCCATGTCCTCAGAGAGCCAACACCACAGATAGTGGACCCCTGTGTCTCAGACCATCAGTTCTATGTGTGACAGGTCCCATGTCCTTAGAAGACGTCCTCAACCAACTCCATGTGTAGTGGAGTCTGTGTCCTCACTCAACTCCGTGTATGGCAGACCCCGTGTCCTTAGTCAACTCCTTGTGTGGTGGAATCTGTGTACTCAGTCAATGTCACATGTTGGGGAACCCGTCCACTCAGTAAATGCCATGTGTGGCAGAACCCATGTACTCAGTCAACTCCTTGAGTGGTGGAACCTGTGTCCTCAGACAGTGAATGCCACATGTGGTGGATCCTTGTGTCCTCAGACAGTGAATGCCACGTGTGGTGGATGTCTGTGTCCTCAGACAGAAAAGCAAGGTGTGCTGGACATCCATGCCCTGAGACACAGATGCTCCTCCTCGTCCCCTGTGAGATAAGATGACCTTGGCAACCAGCAATTTTGAGAGATTGTTGATTGTAGCCAAAACTGGGACTCAGCTACCTCCTGATTGGTTTTAGAGTCTCCGAAGGAAAGACTAGTCATCCACCAAGGCCCTGAGTGGTGTCACAAACACTTCTTAGGAGTTAGCTGGAATAAAACCCTCAGTTAGACTGGTTAGCAGGAATGTGGTTTCTCCTCTAGAAATAGCCGGCACACATGAGGACTGTGCCTGGAACCCGCCTTTGGAATGTCACAATAAACCTCGGCAGATACCCTCATCTGAGCCTGAGCGTCTGACCCTGTGTCATCATGGAATGCTCCGGAAGGGCCTGGGAGAGGTGTCTGGGGCTGCACAGGGACATGGCCTGAGCAGCCCAGAGCGATGAGCATGGCTGGATCCTCATTCCCTTCCTGCCTCGTCTTCCAAGGGTTACTCACTAGGCACGTCCTTACCCCTTCCTGCCTTTTCCAGAGGGTTACACGCGAGCAGGCCCTCACCCATGTGCTGCCTGTTGTCAGTGGTGTGGGCACTGATTAGGTCGTTGCTGTTTGACTTCATGACACTCTGGAGAAAGACAGAGCTCATTCTGTTGTTTCTCTGCCCATCTTAATCTGCTTGGGGTTCTACTGGCCCTGGATGGAGTGGTTCCCGGCGGCCACCATCCACCCGTGGCTGCCAGGACTTGGACTTGCGCTGCCGGGGTGGGGACAGCAGCCACAGGCAAGCACAGGGCATCCATCAGATAAACAAGCCCTTCTCAGGTGTGAGTCGTCTTGTGCTGCATCTGGGACTCACGGGTATGAAAAACCTTTGTTGTTATCTGAAATTCAGGTTAGGGGAGCCTCTGGGAGGTTTTTGCCGAAGTTGCTAATCTGTTGCACTTGATGTTTACTGCCTGTTACACAGTGTCATGTGTATACAGATGGAAGGTCTTGGCTACCAGTCTTCTCTCTGGCCCTCACCACTTCATCCCTAAGGCAGCCACGTGGCCTGGATGTGTTCCCTCCGAACCTGCCCCATGACAGCACATGGGGAGCCAGTGCCCTCACTCTATGTTGAGGTGTGACGTCACTGCCCACCACAGGGCCCTCGACAGCAGCTGAGCAGATGCTGGTCCATGCCCTTGGCTTCCAGAGCCACAGACTAGTAGCCCAATACCGTCTGCGTGCTCTGTCACACACACAAGGGGACAAAGGCACACTCCCTGCCGGCCCAGTCGGCTCTTGTTCTGTCTTCTTGCTCACAGTCCAACCATCGCGAGATGGGCTGAGCCAAAGTGTGTGCTGTTTTGTAATGGGGCATCAGTGTGCTCTGTATTTACACGTGTGAACGTGCCACTACTGGGGATCAACACAGGGACTGAGGGACCAGTGATTTTGAAAGGAAAACCTCATGGACGACACGTGGAAGCAACACCAAATGGCTTCCAGTGCCTTCCGATTTAAAGGGAAGACACAAAGGCTTGATTTGATGTTTCAGACACCAATACTGAATTCCCCATCAGAGCAGCAAGCGTCCCCCTCGGCCCGCCTCTGGGTTGCAATGTGAGCACATGTGGAGAGTCACTGAGAACAGGTGCCCTGTGCGGGCTGCGTTGGAAGAAAACCTTCACCGCCATGGCCCTGTCCTGTCGCCGTGGTTCCCGGGAAGCACCTGGCAGCAGCTGTTGCCTGACACTGAACCCGCGCCACGGCTCGCAGCCCAGCAGGGGAGCGGGGTCTTGTTTCGCTGTCTGCGCAGGGCGCAGCTCTCCCTGTGCTGCAGGGCGGTGCAGTGGCAGCGGCTGCACTGTGGGCCTTGTAGGCTACGGCTCAGCCGGAGACAGTGGACTCCCTGGCGGCCACCAGGTTCAAGGCTGGGAGAGGCGGGCGAGTGCGACGCCATCTTCCCATGGGGGACAGGACTGGTCTGGGGCACGCTGGTGCCTCCCTGCTCAGGCTCGTTAGCCAGCCCTGGAGTTTCGTGGCTACAAAGACCTTCCAGTGAGGCTCTGATGGTGTTCTTAACTTAAAAGGTTCACGTCTCTGAGAACACTCTGGCTTGTTCCTCCTCACCCCACACCTGGTCGTAGACAGGCAGCGGCCACTTCGGCTTCCCCGATGCCTGGGTTTGCATAATTCATCGTGGTGCCTCATTTCATGAGCTATTTGGTTACAGGATGGACTCGTGTTCAGCTGACAGCATTCCACAGACTCCTGAGAGCTGCTGAGACCAGGTGCACACCTGTGGGGACTCCCACCTGCACAGGACCAAGAAGCAATTGGCTCTGTAACAAGCAGGAGTAACTGAGCTGGGCGGTGGTTGACATAGGTGCACATATTAGATTTTTTAAAGATTTATTTACTTATTTGAGAGGCAACGTTACAGAGAGAGAGAGAGAGAGAGAGAGAGAGAGAGAGAGATCTTTTATCTGCTGATTCACTCCCCAAATGGCCACAACAGCCGAGCTGGGCTGTTCTGATGTGAGGTCAGGAGTTTCCCCTGGGTCTCCCACATGAGTGCAGGGGCCCAGCACTTGGGCCATCTTCCACTGCTTTCCCAGGCCATAGCAGCACACTGGGTCAGAAGTGGAGCAGCCGGGACACAAACTGGTGGCTATATGGAATGCCCGCGCTGCCGGCGGAGGCTTAACCTACAATACCACAGCGCCAGCCCCACCTGCTAATCTTTTTTAGGATTTTAACCCCTGTCTTCTTGGAGCTGGGGGAGCCCACGTCATTGTTTTAGGGTTTCTTGGTGACGTCTGCCTGCTCAAATCATTTGGTGGGCCCTCCAGCCAGACAGCGTGAGGGGTCTCCCTGCCCTGGTTCTCAGGTGAGGGCACCACTGGCAGGAGGTAGAAATCAGCATCGGAAGTGAAGTTTACTCTGTTTCTTCATCACATCTACCTGGGGATTTCCACCAGTCAGGTACTTAGCTGTCAGGTACTACCAGTCAGGAATTTAGCTGTTGGGTACTAGCTGTCAGGTACTTAGCTGTCAGGTACTAGCTGTCAGGTACTTAGCTGTCAGGTACTTAGCTGTCAGGTACTAGCAGTCAGGTACTAGCAGTCAGGTACTACCTGTAGGTACTAGCAGTCAGGAACTTAGCTGTCGGGTACTAGCTGTCAGATACTAGCAGTCAGGTACTTGGCTGTCAGGTACTTAGCTGTCAGATACTAGCAGTCAGGAACTTAGCTGTCGGGTACTAGCTGTCAGGTACTTGGCTGTCAGGTACTAGCTGTCAGGTACTTAGCTGTCAGGTACTACCAGTCAGGAACTTAGCTGTCGGGTACTAGCTGTCAGATACTTAGCTGTCAGGTACTAGCAGTCAGGTACTAGCTGTCAGGTACTTACCTGTCAGGTACTAGCAGTCAGGAACTTAGCTGTCAGGTACTACCAGTCAGGAACTTAGCTGTCAGGTACTAGCAGTCAGGTACTAGCTGTCAGGTACTTAGCTGTCAGGTACTAGCAGTCAGGAACTTAGCTGTCGGGTACTAGCTGTCAGGTACTACCAGTCAGGAACTTAGCTGTCAGGTACTACCAGTCAGGAACTTAGCTGTCAGGTACTAGCAGTCAGGTACTAGCAGTCAGGTACTAGCTATCAGGTACTTAGCTGTCAGGTACTAGCTGTCAGGTACTACCAGTCAGGTACTTAGCTGTCAGGTACTAAGCTGTCAGGTACTAGCTGTGAAGGGAGGAAAGAAGGGGACAGGCTCTGCCCACTGAACCACAGCAGACTCCTGCAGTGCTGCGCCCTTGACCCAGTGAAGTAACCTCTGACCCAGCGAGCTCACTCAGCACACACCTGCTATCACGTGGTCAGCACTTCCGCTCCTAGGCCTAGGCCCCAGACAGAAGCAGATGCACGTCCACACAGCCTCAGTATCACAGAGGCACCCACCCGCAGACAGGCGGATCAGTACCGCATGCCTACCGTGGATACCACCCAGCCACACAAAGGAACAAGTCTGGTCTTGCAATATGGATGAAACTCAAGCCCGGTGTGAGACGCCCATGTCAAGGTTCAGTTCCCAGCAGCAATGTGTGAGGGCCCAAGTTCTCCTCACCTCTGCAGTACCTGGTCTCTGACTCTTGAATCTAGCCATGGGCTGGGTCAGAGGGAGTCTGTCACTGTGGCTTTGATTTGCCATTTTCTTGATGCTAGTGGTTTGAGCATTTTTTGGTGCGCTTATGGCCATCTGCAGCTCTCTCTGGAGAGGT